CATAAGTGAGCGACTAACATGTTTAAAAGTGCTGACGTGGTTCGTACGCATATTTGACCCTTATCTAAATATCAGTTTATTTCAAAGATTTTAGCAGTGGGGCTATTTCATAATACACAATAACAAGTGCAGAGGTGCCATTATAAAATTTCTATACTTGCATTGTGAAAACTGATAAAGTTTATCTTTTACTCCGATGTACTAGGCCTAATTAATTAATACCTGGTTGCTAAAACAGTTTACAGTTTTATACAGTCATGAGAAAAGTTTAAAATTAGTGCAAGTCTTAATCATATGGCTTACATCAGGATAATATGGATCACATTGTGTCAGTGTTATTTTGTTATAGCAATTAAAATTAGTGAATTAGTAACCTACATGTGGCATTGTCACCCCCTAGAGGTGAGCTGTGTATTGCAATACAAAATACGTAGCAATCAAAACTATTGTCATTTAAACTTACTCTTGAAACACTGTCACTTTCTCACTTCTTGTTTATGACTATTCTCTTTTACCGGACAAGGGAAATGGAAGCAGCAGGAAGACTATACTACATGTAAGACAGCTCTCTCTCTCTCTTTGTGAAAGAGTGATGTAACAATATTAAACTGGTAATTATTAAAATGCTGTAAGGTAGTTTGGGGCAATTGTAACATACTACACTAATTGTCATTTTTATTTTTATTAGTATTTATTTATTTGTTTGTTTTGTTGGATGTCCAGTACTTAGACTTTTATGGCTTTAAACAGCAGAACTGTTTTTTAATATTTAATAATAAATAACTTGTATTATTCCTGACAAATTATACATATACACTACCTTTCAAAAGTTTTTGAAGAAATTAATACTATTATTCAGCAAGGGCGCATTAAATCAAAAGGCGATTAAAAGTTACATTAAATACTTTTATAATGTTACAAAAGATTTCTGTTTCAAATAAATGCTGTTTTGAAATTTTCTCAAAAAAAAAAAAAAAAAAAAAGCATCACGGTTTCCACAAAAAAGTAAGCAGCATGACTGTTTTCAACATTGCTAATAATAAGAAATGTTTCCTGAGCACCAATTCAGCATATTAGAACGTGAAACTGGAGCAATGGCTGTTGAAAATTCAGCTTTTTACTGTATTTGTTTATCAAATATATGCAGCCTTGGTGAGCATAAGTGATTTCTTTCAAAAACATTTAAAAAATCTTACTGACCCTACATTTTTGAATGGTGTATTTATTAAAATTATACATTATACCTCATATATTTTTTACTTACTTTACTTAATGGAACAGTTCTTTTACCACACATAAATGTTTCTTATATAAAAAGATGGCAGGTAGATTTGTAATAAATCTTAACATTTTAAATGTTACAGTTGCCTCTGGTCTCAACTTCCGACTGAGAAGAGAAAACAGAACTGATAATGAATGGCAAGGGAAAGAATTACATATCATGAGTGCACATTAATATAAATATACACTCTGCATCTTTTTCTGACTTATTATAAACTCTTTATCTCAACCGCTGCTCTTTTAGAGGATGTTAAACTTAATATGCATGTGTTTGTTGACACCTGATTGCTGCTCCCTCTTATTCACACTTTCTCAATGTTTGCGTTTTGAATCCAACATCCTGTTCTATTGAGCCACTGTGAAAATTCAAACACAAGCCTTTAGCACGCACTGTTTGATGTGACCACTTCAAACCTGGTTAATTTCATATTCAATTATCTCTCTCTTTCACTCGCTTTCCATAGATCAAGTGAGCCTGATACAGAGAATGCTGTCAATACGCTGTTTGTGGAACTGGCATACAGACAAAATGATGGTAAGCGAGTTAATTTGCCTTTGCATATATGGGGGTTTTAAGGTTAAGAGTGGATGTTTCTTGACTTAGTGTGTGAGGTTTGATTTTGTAGTGTTGGCTGTTTTTATGTGTAGACCTTATCGTTTCACTGCTAAAGTGTTAGATCTTTCAATTGCATTCAGTTACAGTATGTCTACCTTTAAGCGTTGATAGTAGCCAGGCCAAGGGTGCTGAACGTTCAGGGAAGAGAAGTGACCCTGAGCAGGACCTGTGGAACCATTGCAGACTGCACCTTCCAAGAGCTGTGTGAGCGAGTGAGTGTGTAGAAAAGGACATAAAATGCTGATTTAAGATCTGGTTTGTGGTGTCTTTTCCAAATGTTTTAGATGTGGATATAGGAAGGCAGTGGTTAAACTGGGAAGGAACAGCATTCTGGCACCTTATATTAAAAAAAGGACACAAAAATATCAGGAGCTTGTCATTCCACCTATATTTAGTCAGTGTAATCACTCTAAATAAATAAATAAAGTACGTTAATTACATTTAAGCATTATACTTCCCTATCTTCCAAGGTGAGCCACTCTCAGTTCAAATAAAATCATAAAAAAGCCTGTTTTTAACACTCAGGCAGGTTTTGAACCCAGGACCCCTCAGGTCAAAAGAATTTTGCCACTGGACCTGAAAATACCATAAAGATATTTGTATATTCATTTGTATGTCTGTGTATTTCTTTTTCTTTCATTCTTTCTTTTTAATTGATCATTTTCTTGATTCTTATATTTATTTTTATGAATGCAATTTAAAAGTTTGGGTTTAATAAAATTTTTAAGACAGTTTTTACAGAAGTCTCTTGCTCACCAAGGTTCCATTTATTTGATCAGAAATACAGTAAAAAAAAAAAAATAATAATAATAATGAAAAAATTTAAAAATAACTTAAAATAACTGTTTTCTATTTTAAAAATATTTTATGCCATTTATTCCTGTGATTGCAAAGCTGAAAAAGATTTCAGCAGCCATTGCTCCAGTCTATAGTGTCCTTCATGATCCTTCAGAAATCATTGTAATATGCTGATTCGGTGCTCAAGAAACATTCTTATTAATAACAATGTTGTCCATAATAACAGTTGTCCATAATATTTTTGTGAAAATCATTTTTTCAGGATTCTTAGATGAATAAAAAGTTTAAAAGAATGATTAATTAAAAAAAACTTTGTTTTTCTTTGTAACAATATAAATGTATTGCCACTATTGATCATTTTAATGTGTCATTGCTGAATAAAAATATTAATTTCTTTAAAAAAAAATACATCTCTACACCTTCAGTTGATCATTTTAGCATTGTCTTTGGCTAGTCTAAGCCAGCTTGTGTGTGTGTGCTTGTTTATGTATGTAGCCTTGGACTTGGTTTACCAGTATGATGCTCCCTTTTTTGTCTGTGAAGGAAAGAAAGAATGAGTATGCTGCTCTCTAATGGAGCCGAGGCACTGTCTCTGCGTCCTTCAGTGCTTTTGAGAGCGCTGTTCACTTCAATGTACTGAGAGTGTGAGCGAGTGAGTGTGTGTGTACATGTGTGGATTTGTCTAAAGAGTCCTCAACTTCTTCATCTTCATGGTCAGGCTAATGCAGTTGGGACTATATGTCAGCATGTGTTAATGTGCCTTTCCACTTAGTTACCACAGAGATACGTTACCAAGAAAAAAAATAGAGAATATAGGACGAAATAGAAGATTAGAGACAAAAATTCAAGAGGGAATAAGCACATGAGATAAGAGAGATGGATGGGTAAAAAGGTATGTGCGATGGCTTCAGAGACATCACTGAGGTTTTCCTCTCAATCACTGTCAAGGTGGAGAGACCCCTGATGCTCAAGCAGATGAATTTAAGTTTTATATTATACTTTCAAACATAATACACACTTTTTAAAAGTTTGGGGGTTTTGAAAGTCTCATATGTTCATCAAGGCTGCATTTATTTGATCAAAAATACAGTAAAAACAGTAATATTGTGAAAATCTATTTCATTTTCATTATCTATTTTCCAGGATCGTCTGATGAATAGTAAGTTCAAAAGAACATAATTTATTTGAAACAGATTTTTTTAAACAATGTATTAGTCTTTACTGTCACTTTTGATCAATTTAATGCATACTTTATGTATTAATTTCTTAAAAAAAAAAAGATAATTTAATCATCCTCATCGTTCCTTATCTGGATGACTTTTGTTCTTCTGTTTTGAATAATGTAGTGGTCATGATCTACATTTAATTACATTGAATATAATAAAAAAAAAATCTAAAGAAAGAAATCAAAAATGAAGCAAAAGTTCATGAGAATGAGTAAATAAAAATAATTTTAGTTTTTTACGAACTATCCCTTTAAGCCTAAGAGCTCACTAAATATCATAAAGAAACTGGCTAAACATCTCTGTTCTCTGTTTAATAATTAGTGTTAACTCATTTTTCATGTGTGTTTGTGTGTTTATTTGTTGTTTAAAGCCATTGGGTGCAGGTGATTATTTAGAAACCGCACGGCATTTTGACACGGTCATCATACGGAATGTTCCTCACTTTCGAGTCGGTATGAAGGACCAGGCTAGACGCTTCACCACACTCATTGACAACTTTTATGACCAAAGGGTAATGACTCTTCAAAACACATACTAACCCTGACTTCCTTCAAGCTCACGTAGGCCTTCAACATGTCCATCTTCAGAATCAAAAACACTTGTTATTCATGTGCGATCCTCAAATACATTTGTTTCATAATAACTTTGTCATACTCTGTTAGCACCAGCCTATCTACATGGTTCACTTTCTGTGTTTAAACTCTCAGGTTAGAGTGGTGATATTGGCCGATGCACCGTTACACCGCCTCGTTACACACGAACTCGGCCTGACCGATGTAATGACGACACCCTAACAGTGCCACCTATAGGCATTACATTCTAACTTTACATTACAATTCTGAAACTAAACCATAAGCACATAAAGTCAGCACACATTAATATTGCATGCATAAAAAATATTGAAGGGGAAAAAAAGCTTTCTACCAGTCCATGACAGTGTTATTTTAGTACTATTTATATACTATACTATTATATTATTAATTATTTTTTTAAATTAGCTTTTGTTTATATTTTCAGTTTTCATTTTAGTAATTTTGTAATGTGATTTAGTCATTTTTATTACGTTTTTATAAAAATATTTCTATATAGCTATTATTTTTTCAGTATTTATATTTTATTTTAATTTATTTCAGCTTGGTTTTAAAATAGTTTTAGTTTTACGTAACTATAACAGCACTGGCCCATGAAGAGCATTAATCAATTATTTTAGGGGTCTTAAAGGGATCATATCATACATGGCTATAACTGTATTTTTTCCCTAAAGTTGACTTTGTTGTTAGTAACATTTTTGTGCCAGCATTTTTCCACAACCATCCAACCTTTCTCTGCCTTAGAATCTAACAGACTGCTTTTTCTGCTGTTCTATTAAACAGTAACCCTGCATTTTGGCTTTCTCCTTATAAACTCTCCATGACTGGGCAGTCAAGTTTCTAATCACTCAGCAGGCAACAGTTACATGTAAATATACATGGTCATGTATTGAAATTGACCCCTTAAAACAGATCAAATCTCTCTAGTAGTATATTTTAATGAGCCTTGGTTCTTTGCTAATTCCTGTAGAAATGCATTTGTAATTGCTCATCAGAACTGCATTTATTTTGCTCAGGAGGCCAGTGAGCGGCTGACATTGTTCACAGCAGACGAAGAGGTCTTTGCCTTCCAGAGGACAATATCTCGCCTCACAGAGATGCAGACAGAACAGTACTGGCTAAGTGGGGATCGGAGTCAAACATGAACTGAAACTGCCTTGCAGTTACCAACTACCTCTTAATAGAGTCCAAAGGAGAGTCTCCCAAATCATTTGGGATGGTGCATTTCCATCACCACAAACACACTGTACGCTTTATCTTATTACTTTAAAAGCAAGTGGAATCATCCATATGCTCACATCACCATTAATATGCAAAACTAAATCTCATTGACTGCAATAGGAGAATGCATACTGTCAAATAAGATGTCTAGCACCCTCTAGTGGATCATGTATTATGTGCTATTTAGTACATTATGTACTTTGGAATACACTCTCTCTGTGAGGGGGAAAAATATAATGGCAAAATGTATATTTAAATGTTTTATTTATAATGTGAATTTATGCAGGTATGCTTCCTTAAATATGGAAGCGTATTTCCATATTTAAATAATAATAATTGTTATAAACAAAAAGTCTAAATTATGACATAAGTCAAACATAAATTATCTCGACATAAATTGACAAAATTATGACTTTTTATATCACATTTTTACTGTCATAATTATGACTTATGCAATAATTATGATTTACCAAAGCATGATTTTTTCATGTGGTGGAAATGGGCTTCCATTCTTAAATTATTAAAATGTTTACAATAAAACATTAAACATTATTTGTACTGCTTCTGGTAATGTTAAATGCAGAACTGACAAGATGAATCTCCACAAACAAAATGACATTTTTTTTATTTTATTTTCTCTTCTCTTCTTGGGACCAACCATGATGAGCATAAGCTCCAAAACAGTCACCAATCCAGTTTCTTCAAAATCTTAACATTTAAAGGGTCTATTTTCTGTCATTTCTCATTTTGGTCTGAAGGTGGCAGTAGAAGATAGTTCTGTTGCCTGTTCACACCCTCTGTGTTATTGGTTTACATGACACTAGCAAAGCATACTGCAGCTCCCTATCTGTTCCTCCCAGAGAGAAGTAGACTAGGCACCCTCACCTACAAACAAATCTGTACAATACATCTGTTACCATATGCTCAGGGATACTGAACAAACATTTATACAGGCTAAAGGAAAATAAGTATCATAAATACATGTCCCACAAGAGACCTTGGAGCAACACATCATATCGACTATCAGTTTACACATAATATGTGTAATCTACATTGACAATACTGGAAACATAGTGTCTCGGGTACTGAGGAACCATTTAGACATTTACTAAAGCTAGTGTCTACAGTTATTGTAGAGGTCATCTGCACTTTTCCACCCAAGCAGGGTTAGGAACAAAGGAAAGGGAGACAGAAGGGGGGAGGGCTGATTTTGAAAAGATAAGGAGTGAATAGAGGAGCAAACAATGGTGTTAAATCTTTAGTGACTGAATAAGAAAGCCTTTAGTACCAATTGTTGTTGGCCATACAATAGTATCACAGAATGGCACCACTTTAATATCCTACACAAACCGTGCGATTATGTAATGAGTTCTGCATGTTTTCACATGTATTTCAGACTCTGAACCTGCATAAATGTCATTAATAATCTCAGTTTGTATCTCGATTAATGTGATTATGTGCCGATGCAGACACGTGGAAGAAGAGCGCGCATTCCTTCACAAACATCGTCGGATTCACCGCGCCCGAGAAAGTACGCATCTCCGCAGGAACAAAGACGTGCTCGTGTTTTGATAAGACGACACTGTGCTGGAGGAGAGCAAACGCCAGAGCAAATTTCTTTATTATGAATTACGTCATGTGTTTGAATAAAACGAGGCTGGCAGCAGGGGGCGTGTCATGAAGGACGACTTCACGCAGGGATTAAAGTGCCAGCGGAAGGTAAATACAAGACATGCCTCAACATTTGTCAGTGGCCCCAGAGCAAGTAAAAAAAAAAAAAAATCATTACCAGATATTTTTGAATATTTAAAGGAAGACTTCCATTAAAATGATATTTACAAACCCCCATTATTTTCTTTCTTGGGGGAGAATGGGCAATTTTACATCCATTGAAAGTGGATTGTGATTTTAAATTCCAAGATCCAAAAAAATTAATAAAAAAACTCATGCAGTGACTCTCTGAGACCCATGCAGTCTGTTCCAAGTATTGTGAAAATACAATTTTGGAGCTGAACTCTGCTTTTGCTATAGTTCTGAAATATAATTTGTGGTTATGTTCAGTTAAGTGTTGCCTTTGAATGTATCACTCAGGGTTTGATGACATGGATGACAAACTCCACTGATTCATGCCGATAATGGGACTGATTGTAGTATGTTAAAAACATGATTGTGAATGTTATTTTATTTCAATTTCATGACTTCAATTTCAGTCTGTTCTTCACAAAACAACAAAAACACTATCCTATGCCTTCAAAAAAACTTGCTTACCAATATTGGCTACTTTTATTGTTCTATTACTTTTTTCTCTTTTTTTATACAACTTAGGGATTTAAAACTGTGATGAAACGAAATGGCAACAAATCTATTATTCCATATTGTGACGTAAAAAATCTGTCATTTGTTGATTGGATTTTGAGATGTGGGCACTGCATTCAAAAAATGGAGTCAGATTAAACGTTTTTTATGGGCGAGTTTAAGCAGACCAAATGATTGGAGAAAACCTGCATAATTCACCAGAGAGAAGTGTGGTGTTTCCCCGGAAATTCCAGTTATGACATTCTGATTATTAATTACAAGGTCAAAAAAATTCACAATAAGATCTGTAACATGTATTAACAAATTGGGTGAATTTTCATTTCAAACCACCATAAAGACATGCTTCACAAAGAACATGTTTTCAAGAAAGTAATACTGTGTTGGAACAGTGGAGAAAGTGACAACATTTATGGTGGACTATTCCTTTAAGATATTACTTATCAGGCATCTGATTATAACCAAATTTGTCACACTAACTCCCTCAACACTGTACTGCTGGCTCCCTTAATGATGTACTGGCTAATTCTGTCTACTTGTGTTACCTGAAAGTGTTGTCTCTAATCTACAGCACATTCCAGATAATATGCCCAGATAATGTTGTTTGCATGTCTGAACTACAATTTCTCAAACTGAATCTATATTTGGAAATCCGATAAACTGATATGGGCTCTCCGTACTTGGAGTGACTTGTTTGAACATGTCCTCTCGCCTGTTGGCAGCTGTGATGGGGAGCAGTGGCCCTTTAAGAGGCGATCCCACAGGCGGAATCTAGGTGGCAGGTCCCTGTCAGCGGTAGAGGCTGCGTTTCTCTTCTCGCCCTTCTCCAGTCACTCAGTCCTAAATTGAGCTGGCTTGAGTGCTGACAGACGATTAGAGTAGATAGTCCTTCTGTGCCTTTAGATAGATAGGTGCAGAGAGAGAGAAGGGGCTTTCTGGATGGGAATTATTGCAATGTACCGTTCGTGACACCGAGGCACCGGTGCGCGGTCTAACAAGACACAGTCATTAAGCGATAGTTGCGTCTCTAACGTTACCTTTAATTGTTAAAGAGTCTTCGGAATGCGAAGGGACATAGGGGTCAAACTGGCAAATAGCACAAAATGATCAGTACAGTCTACGAGCACGCGTAGTTTTTTCCTTGTTATTGTAGTTGTCTTGATCTGACATAACGGCGTTTTGATTGTAGCCCGCTGAATGTGCAGTGGCTCTGACAGTTCAGTTCTTTTGTCACTACAGCGACTTACTGCTTGTGATGGTTGTATGCAGTGACGTTGTGGCGCTTTGTCCGTGGCTACTGGCGAAGTGCGCTGGAGAGATATAGTTATTACATCAGTGCACCAAGTGACTGGAGTGCGACACAGAGAAGAGAAACGGCTCTGGCTGAATGGTGCGTGTTGAGGTATTGCATTATGCATATAATATTATAATGTATACTCATGCATGTGTGTGTATACACACACACACGCTCATATTAATGTACTGGATTTATTTACATTAGGTACAATAGTTGTGCTGTCACAAAATTTTGGCTGACAGTTGTGATTTACGTGCGCAGTGTGTGCAAATACACCTTAAGAAGTAATTTAATTTGGTTTGGAATCACATAAAACAGTTTTGCTAATTAGGCTTTGAAAACGTTGAAAATATAGCTAATATTTGTAGACTTACGTGAATCATTTAATTTTAAACATTACAGATATTTGAAATGTTTCTCTTATTGGTCCACTTTGCATTCACGCTGTTGTTTCTCGGAATTCAGCCAGCTATCATATTATTAATATTGAATAATACTGAATATTGTTATGGAATAGCAATATATTTAAGTCCTAAATTCTTCACTTTCACAATAACAGTGGTTTCATATCTCATTCGTGCGGTCATCTCCACTGGAATACGAATAATCTGAGTCAGAGTGTGTCATTATGAAAGTGTAACGACGAGCAAGAAGATGTGCCATCAAGCAAGTGTTAAATTAAAATGAAAGCGGAGCACTTTGCGTACAGTATACACGCTAATCTTTGTTTATACCTTCACGTGAGTGTTGCGCGTACCCCGCATTTCCAGAAGCCTTTAATTTTCACTGATTCATTAGACACATCGAAAAATGATACGTTTAATTATACTGTTAATGGCTTTTGAAATAGTAGCTTAAATTTGCCGTATTTGGATGGCAAAATGTTAAATTTAAAGTGCATAATCTCTCTCTCGCTTTCTATAATGTAATGTGATACACACACACACACACACACACACATAAAATGCACAGTTGCATATAATTTGTATATTGTATTTTTGTCTTTCTGAAACACAGGGAGGGGTGTTAATTATCATTCAGATTTGCACTACTGGCTCAAGAAGCATTTAAGCACCATTTAGATATTTAGGTGCATTCATGGAATGCGACTGTGACCGCTTCCCACTGCCTGTTTATCATTGATCAAGACAGAGTACAGAGGAGGGTCAAAGAAGGCTGGTAGAGGCGATGGCAGAGACAACCCTGGAGCCACTGTCCTGTCTGGATGTAGCCATCGATCCGGATTTTGAGCCACAGAAACGGCCGAGATCATGCACTTGGCCACTGCCAGAGTCCAGCTCAGCAAAGCCTGCT